GGCTGTTTAGTCTGCAGAAGGGAAGGCATGTGACCTTTTGATGCTTAAAGGGGGATTATGAGGAAGATGGAGAGAGACTTCTTACAAGTGCTTGTATTCACAGGGCAAGGGATAATGGTTTTTAACTAAAAGGGGATAGATTTAAATTTCATATAAGGAAGGAATTATTTACTGTGAGGGTGATAAAGCACTGAAACAGGTTGCCCAGAGAAGCTGTGGCTGCTCCATCCCTGGCAGAGTTCAAGGCCAGGCTGGATGGGGCTTGGAGCAACCTGGTCTAGTAGAAAATGTCTCTGCCCATGGCTGGGGGCTGGAACAAGGTGATGATTAAAGGCCTTTCCAATCCAAAGCATTCTAGGATTCTATGAAATGGAGGCATCCACACTTTAGTTACTTTGGGTAATTTTAGGTAAAATAAAAAGCCTTCTAGATTTGACATATATGAAAAGAAAAAATGAAAAGGTCCAAGTCTGAAAAATCTCTTTTTCCTTAAAATTATGTAACTGCTGATATTATAGGTACAATAAGAATTTGGACTTTCAATGTTCTAAATTACTTAGAAATAACGAAAATCAAACAATGGTTTGAAATGCATCTAACACAAAACTCAAAGCCCTAAAAATGCCCATGTATTTATATACATATTAGCTGGATCCAGCCTGCATTTGAAAGTTTAGGTGGACATTTTTCTGGAAGTGTAAAATCAATATTACGGGCAATATTACCTTTCTGGAATGAAAGGAACTTAGATAAAGAATAGCCTACTGTATCTTCAAAAAGTAGCATGTTTCTTAAGTTCCATGTGCATTATATTTGCAATTTACATGGGGATTTGTAGCAGCAGTGCTGCTCCCTGGGTGTTACTTACTTTGGATGGACTTCTCTAAGGCTGAGTTTACACAGCTGTGGTAGGAAAACCTAGCCACAATCAATTAAAAGTGCAACACAAATCCTTTAGACAGCATTCTCAGGCTGTCCTGCTGTTGAGACAGCTACTATTCTCTGAGAATGAGTGCTCTAACTATATTAAACTTAGTCCTAACCAAAATAAGCTTTTACTAATTTTCACCATTTAAGGAACATAAAGACCTGCCTTTGTCATTTAAAATTTAAGCTGACTAAGCCTCATAGAAACAGAACGTTAAAGAACTAAAGCAATTAAATCCATTTACAGAGGTCAGAAGAGTCTCTGGGTTTTAGACATGATGGGCTTGTAGGGTATGTGCTTGTCATTTACGTGAACTTTCAGATTATGGGTTGATAGGTGGCAAAATAAGTCACCTTTGTCTTCCTCTTGATAACAGTGACGCTGAGCTGATCCTAGCAGGTCACCAGTGTCCTGGCATTACCTGCACTTCTGATTACTGAACAACTAGAATAAATAGGCAAATGAGACCCCAGACGCCCTGTCTTTGTGTGGGACATATTTATTACCAACCTACTGAATTCTGCACACAAAGAAGGCCTCAGGGAATGTAGTATGTCTACAAGCTGAAGCAAAAAGCACTGAGAAAAAAAAAAAAGAGGATAAATAAGCAGGCAGCTGAAAAGCCTGAAGTCTAACTAACTCACCAGCACATTGATAATACAATAATGTGGTCAACCCGCTGTGGACTCTGAACAAGGCTTTTTTTCTGTTTTTCAGCTAATTAGTAAAAGAGATTAAGGTTTTCAATCTCGCTTGCTCTTTCTTCCCTCTTTTTACCTGGAGAGTGTGCATGTATGTCTACATATGTATTTCCTAAACGAGCAAAGAGAAAGTACATACATTACAATGTGGAAAACATGAAGTGGAGTGTGAGCTCAGTTTTATTTCCAACAAGAGGGTCATCGATATTATTTCAGATTTCCATGTTCTGTGACTGCAAACAGTCAGATGTGTGTGTGTGTGTGTGTGTGTGTGTGTGTGTGTGTGTGTGTGTTACAGGGTGGGAGGGGAAGGGGGAAGCTGAACAGAGGATATGAATTTTAATCAGTTTCCTGAATGAATACAACACTGTATTTCCCCCTACTCTCCTTAGGATGACAATTCAGAGGAGATAACCTTCTCCTTTGAAAAACCTTGAAGGGAAAGTTTGTTTTTACCATAACAAATGCAACAAAAGAAGAGGGAAGCTGGGAAAGGGAGAGGGCAGACAAATTAAATGTCAAACTTTCTCTTCTTACTTGAAGATAACAGCATACTAGGAAACTTTCTTAGAAGCTTAATATAAATGCAGTTAAGCTGTTGCCAGCTGCAGTAAACCTCTCTCTCACCTTTCTTTCTCTCTTTCAAGATATCTTTGAATGCCTTCTCCTTCATCATAAATCAGACCTGTGAGCAATTATCACTCAAGCCGGATGGCAGCGGCCTGAGTGGCCACTGCTATTCCACTGCTGTAATCTGCACTTCGTCAGGTTACACTACCCTTGATGAAATTTCACATTTCTTTGCCAATGAGTGTTACTTCTCCATTTATGACTCACTGTCTTTGCAGCAGAGAACTGTGAATTTCATTCCTCTCCTTGTAATTTGTTTAAGCATCACGGACCATCCGGCAGTGCTGAGCACACTCAGCAAACCCACTGGGGAGTCTCAGAGCATCCCAACAGATGTGATTCTGCTGCTGCTCCTCACACACTGCCCCGAGGACATATCTCAGCGCCTCGGAAGGACACTGGGCACAGAAACCCTCCTCTGGGATGGTGCTTATGCCACTGTCACAAAGAACATCAAAGGAATTCTTCGTATTTGTCATCCCCTTTCCTATCCATACTGCCCTTGGGTGACAGGTTCTTCACAAGTTCCGGCCTCCCCAGCCCCCAGGCTGCACCTTGCCGTCCTCACAGAGAAGCGGGAGGCTCTTTAGCCAGTCTTTCAGCCAGGAGTTAATGAAATGAAAAAGCCAAACCACCCCGAAATGCCACCTCGGCGCGTGGGAGCGGGTTCCAGCTTTCGAGTCCCGCCCAGTCCGTGAGCGCTGCCCGGGTACCCCGTGGGGCTGCGCGTCCCGCACCGCCGCCACCAGCACCCGGCACGGACCTGCCCAAAGCTCCGCTTCCCACCTTTGGCCAGCGACTTTTAACTTTTTAAATAAAACTCCCAAACCAAAGAGCACACCCGCTCCCCCAACCAACACACATCCCCGCGCATAGCTGTCAAGACGGGCATGAAAAAGTAGGCATAGAGAGCGAGAGAGAGAAAGAAAGAGAGAGCGAGAGTCACTCACCGTTGGCGGCGACACAGAGGTTTCCAGAGCCACTTTGAACTAAGAATGACTGAGGGACAAACTCTTCCTCAGAGTCCGAGCCCGCGGCCGCCCGGGCCGCGCCGTCGCCCAGCGACCGCCCCGGGCCCTCATTGGCCGGCGGCGAGGGGAGAGGGGAGGGGGACTGCGAGCGGGGGGTGGAGGAGGCGGACGAACAGGGCAGGGGGGGACCTGCGGGCCACAGACACACACACAGAGAAGGGAGGGGGGGGGGAAAAAAACACAGAAAGAAATAAAATGAACAAAAAACACACGGCAAAACACAGACAGAGAGACAATAAAAGTCGAGCCGGGGCACGAGGGAAGGCCGCCCCCCAACTCGCCGCCTGCCCCAGCGGGGCAGCCGTGCCTGAGGGGCGGCCGACTGCACCTATCTGACCCCGTTACCTGCCGCCCTTCGGGCTGTCACTGCCCTTTAAAACGCCTATCCTCCTAATAGAGATACTTTAAAACTCGCATCCGTCAGTTTATTTGTTGGGGTTTTTTAGGTTTGGTTTGGTTTTTTTAAAGATTTTGACACTGGCGAGAGCCCCTGGTCCGAGATGCGCTTTGTTCCCATGACACGGGCGCTCACTGTCAATGAGTCGGACTCACTGATGCGGCCGCGCTCCGTCTTTGCTAACGGGAAAGTTTTGCCCGACGTATTGTGAGGTGAATTATTTCAGATTCTATGTGAAAAGTCCTTTTGGGGATTGGTTTAACAATTCCCTTCCCTCTAGTTTATAAAGCAAACGGTGAAAGACCTGCACCATGCAGGAGAGAGGTGGAGGGAAGGTGCGGACACCGCTGTGTGGGGTAGAACAACGCAGCAAATACTGATAGTAGGGCAGGAGCACAGCTCAGACCAGCGTCATTTCGTTGATTAAATGATAAAAAACACAACAGATCGGGTTCTAAGATTATATTTTACATAGAGCTGTGTCTGACTGAGGAAGAGCTTCTACCTACTGCAAGGAAATTGAATCAAATACGTGTAGGTTAAGTAGATCCAATCGGAAAAGCATACTTAAGCGATTAATGGTTATCAGCGTCTTATTCCAATCATATTTTTAAACAAAACTGGGAAGTCAGAAGTGCCAGACTGGCAAAAAATCTATCAGGCAAATGTGGAGGTCAGATATGTGCAGTACATCAATAAAAACAGGGGGAATATGAACATAGACATATAATACAGGACAATGCATTTAAACATTAACTTTCCCCATTGCTACATTTAATCTGAAAGTCATAATGATTAATCTCCCACATTTTCCCAAATACTGAAATGTTATCATGCAAAATCCATCAAAACAAAAGAACAGTCAGCACAAGAAAACCAGCAAGCTTAAAAAATCATCTGTTTCTAAAAAAACCACATTTTGAATATAGCATAGCTCACAACATAGCTGTACAATATTTCTTACTAAACACAACATGAACACTTTAGAAAAGGCCACAAACCCAAAACAATAAAGTGGGTTTAACATTTAAATGTCCCAAAGCTGGTTCTGCTATATTTCCTTCCACCTTGGTCATCAGTTTTTCTCATCATAAGCCCCTGGATGTCACCTCCTTGGCATATGCCAGTCTTATAAATTGCTAATTATAATCAGAGAAAAAATTGTGGCGTCAGAGGCAAACCCTGGGATCCAAGGAGAATACAGGACTGTACCTGTGCTTACAGACACTTGTCACCCAAAGGAGGAAAGCCAGCATTTGTTGAGAGCCTACGTGTGAACAGCAGCCTGTGCAGCATGAAGACTAAGAGCCAAAATTAAGCCCTGTGTGTTTTGTTATGACCAGCAGTGGAGTTGTCTGGATCGCCTTCTTTCTGACAACCCTCCAGACAGAGAAGTTCTTCCTTTAGGAATGCAGCTTTTAAGGAATCTGCAACCCACTTCACACTCCCTGACCCTTTTTATGGTGCCAAGGCTGTAACCTTCCCATTGTGCTAACTACTGGTAGGAGTTGGAGACAGACAGGAAGAAAAAGGAGCACATGCAAGTGGATGAGCACTGCTTTCCTTGTCACAGTCCCTGACATGAAAACTGAGATTCAGCTCTAATTCTGATCTGCTTTTGAAGAAGCAAAGTCTACTCTCTGTCACCCTCTTTGTGGCAATAGAGATTTGATGAGCTCTGACATGTGGCAAAGTTTAAATCAGGACTTTGATTTGCTGTGCTTTCATTACAAAACAGAGTGACACCGTATTTCTAATCCTGTGTAGTCAGAGGCTGAATTTTAGTGGGATGATGATGACTGAAATGGAAAAACAGTGTAAAATCAATGTCTTCCTATAGATCCATACAGTTTTTTGGTGTACTTTGTAAGGAGAGGACACATTTTTCCAGCCATTGAGAAAGACTACCTAGATTTAAAAATTATTTCAAGCCTTTGATTCATTAACACAAACACCAGTGAAATGCATAAAAGGGAGCTTAATGGTGTGGCTACCTGACAAAAAAAAAAAGTATAAACAATTACAGTAGAGCCCCAAAGCTCTCCCTGTGTTTTGTTTAGACAGCACGCTTGGCATAACTATACCTGAAATCTGTACTCTGGACATAAAGAGCCAGAGCAGAACAAGCTGAATTTGGAACTGTAACCCTAAAAGCAAAATGTCACTGCTTTTGTCAGCCCACATCCGAAAGTTTCTGCCATTTCCACATGGCTGCAAGTTGCTGGGGTTTTTTTGTTTTGTTTTTATTTTTGGTAGGAGTTTTCCCCATCTCCCAGTATTGCAGTTTTGGAAATGATAAAAGAAAAAAAAAATATAAATAAAAACATAACTAAAACCTTTTTAATGGCGACTTTGGGTTTTAATCAACTACACCATTGCAGAGTGCACATGAGAAGATCCTGTGGGCTTTCACGGTCATTACGTGCACTTCCAGCAGTGAATGAGCTGACCTTTACAAGGGAAGATTCCCTAGGAATTGTGCATACTAACCACTCAGGGCTGTGCTGCTATGAAGGGCACCAGCACACACCACCGTGCTCCCTGGAAAAATGCCTTTTGGGCATGAATGACGGGGTGGATTCAACAGGAGATTTTGCCAGCTGCTGGATGGAAGGTGTGCACTAGGCAGCTCTGCTGACAACATCCAATTAAAATGCACAGGAAGCAAAGCAATACCTTCCTTTCTAACAAGTCAACAAGGCTGTAAGGCAAGCATGTGGTAAGTTGTGGATCCTTTAAGAGAATTGCCTCCTTTTTTTCCTGCTTGGACACAACACCAAGAATTAAATCTGACCTTTTCACAAAAATTAAACCAAGAGAGAGACAAAAGCTACAAGTTTTGTTTCCTTCTCAGACAAGTATCTCATTGAATTTACTGCAACTGCAGGACCAAGTAAAAAAAGCAGGATTTGGCCCATAAACTTTCATTCCAGCTGCCAGAGCAAAATATCTGATTGATTAGAGCAAAATGAATTTGTAGCACTACTGGGTTGCCATGGAACCTGAGCAAGTAGGACAAGCTACTTTGCCGAATGTGCTGTTTCTCCTTCAAAAATACAAAACAGAAGGACTAGATAACACATTCATTATGCACACTCTTGCAATTTGGAACTTAAAGAAAAACAAAATGGATTCCAAGTATGGGCCCCTTGGCATCAATTTGTAACAATCTTATACATCCGCTTGCAGTGAACAGTCAAAATTATGTTCTTTGGACTTGAGGCAGGAATAACAGTCGCTGAATGTCTCTGTATGAATGATGTGATACTAGCACATATTCAGAGGAAAACAGAACAGAACCTTCTATTTTATCTATGTGCCAGTATTTCAGATTAAAAGTTTAAAAAAAATCAGGGAAGATATGTTGCAGTGTCTGGTAGATTTATGCAAGTCCTTAGGAAAAACAAACTTTAGAAATAGGTTAGTACAAAGAATCTGTTTCTCAGCTTAACTGAGGAACTCTGCAATATTCAGGCAACTGCTTTAAATTTAGGGAGGAGACAAGCAGAGCAGGGGAAAGTAAGACAAACAGTAAACACGCCTTCATTTTATGCTGCACATTTGGCTGTAATATTTAAGAATTACTTTATAACTCACAGGATTTGGTGTTCAGAGATCAAGAGCTGATTTAAATAGGGTGTATTCATGCTAGTGTGAATAGAAGGGCTGCCAGACATACAGAACATTCACAGAGATACTTCTAACTTGTTTCATGGACTATATTCAGTGGATTATACTCATATGTTTATAATTCGTCCCAAGAGAGGTGACAAAAAGTAGATATATACAAAGGCTGACTTCTCAAAGAGCTGAAATGACAAGGCAACAGGATTTAAGAGAGTTCAATATACCCAGAGGGGTATTATCTGTGATCAATAAATAAGTAGTATCAGCTTTTTTCACCTGGTAACTTCTTCCATCAAGCTTCATCCAAGAACCTTTAAGAGCTTTACAAGCATTGAGTATGTAAACTGAAATACTTTTATCAGATCTGTTGGGATCTGTTATCAGATTGGCTGATAGAATGGTCAGAGGGCTGGAACGCTTCTGCTGTGAAGACAGGCTGAGAGAGTTGGAGTTGTTAAGCAGGGAGAAAAGAAGACTCTATGGAGATCTTCCAGCAGCCTTCCAGGACTTAAAGGAGACTTATAAAAAAGAGGGAGTGCAACTTTTTACACAGGCAGATAGTGACAGGACAAGAAGGAAGAGATTTAGGAAGAGAAGAGATTTAGTTTAGATACTGGGAAGAAATTTTTCCCCTGTGAGGGTGGTGAGGCACTAGCACAGGTAGCCCAGAGAAGCTGTGTCCAGCTGTGGATGCTCCATCCCTGGAAATGTTCCAGGCCAGGCTGGACAGAATTTTGAGCAACTGGTTCTAGTGGAAGATGTCCCTGCCCAGGGCCTCGAGTATGGAACTAGATGATCTCCAAGATCCATTACAGCCTAAACCATTCTGGGGAACAGACTTACATTTCCGATAGATAAGGAAACTGAGGCACAGATATGAGTAATAGTTTGATTCAAAATTCTGTCATTTCCTGTACCTGCACGCTGTATCTCTAGCTACTGAAAGAGTCTAAAAGGCCATTTGTCACACTCAAAGTATTTTTAATTAGCAGAATTCCCATCATAAAGGAACAGCAGGCATGGGCAGATGTACTGTGATTGTGATTATCTCAGTACAACTATAGTAGTTCGCACATAAGAACGTTTACATTAAGCCCTATCACTG